TAAAAAGTAACCTGTGTGATGTTATAACGACACTATAATCTATGAGCCAAATTTCATCCAGATCCGTTCAGCCGTTCTGGCGTGATTGAGTAACAAATATCCATCCAAACTTTCGCATTTCGCATTAATGGGATTATTTATTAATTATATTATTCAATTACATCAAAAAGATCTAAGAAAACTTGTTCATAGCTCCCATATAAATTATGTAATATTGTATTAAATTAAGTTAGTATTAAAAAGATAGCTTTTAGTATCAAAAATTCATAAAATTGAACTATCTCAAACTTACCTCATTCACGTTGTATTTAGTTTAACAGAGTAGAATAAAATTGTGTAGATAACTATTTTAGAAGGGATAGTTTCAAATTCTAATGTTAAGGATTCCACTGCCAGACGGAAATAGAACCTCTATAATTTTACCATAACCCCTGTTCATGTACTCTATCGTATGTCACGACCGTTGTATTATTGGAGATAAATATATATATATATATATATATATATATTGTTAGGTACACATTCTTTACTTGACATCATTATACATATCTTCCTACCGTCACATCCTAAACTCCCTCGATATTCCTTTACCTGGAGGTAGTACTCAAAAAAAGCTTCAACGGCCGCGTACGGCGATGGGACGAGCTCCGCATTCTCCCCATCAAATTTAAGACTACGCGTCAAAGTTATCGTGCGAAACGCAATAAACTATCTTATTTTACAATTACAAACTTTAAGCAAATCACCCGGTGTTGTGTGAAAGTGATTGGTGTACGAAACGCGACTTAAGAACCCACGCGGGACAACGGCGAACCAGGTAGTCCATCCACCCTTTCTATCTTTACCCAACAACCTTTTATGGTCCTTCAGATCCTGGATATCCTTTAGTAATCAAACCTCATCTTCAATAAATCATCCTTATTTCCATCAAAAAACATTACATATATACCTACAATAATATACATCTAATTTTTACATTTCGCTTGACGCCATATTGCATACGTAAAATTAACAATTTCATATTGGCATCACTGTTTCATTCCGGATTGCGAATCGGTCAACCGTCAATGTCAAATAGTGTCTTGTCATTTGTCACTTGTTATTTGTCATCTGTCAAATTGTCACATTTGTTTACATTTTGCATACTATCATAATATATTAGTATTATGATATATATAATACCTACGGTAAAAAAAAATGATGACCTGAAAATGGTTAAATAAAAAGGTATGCGGCCTTCGAAATCACTTCACAAGTTATTTTAATATCCTGAAGGTTGAGTTTTTTTTGTGGAACTCATAATAAAATAAATTATTTATTAAAAAAATATATCATGAAAATTACAATGAAACTCCTTCATACACCCCTCCTTAAAAATTAGAAACAGTTAAAGAATTTTTACGCAGTTCAACAGTTGAATCGGAGTAGAGCTTCAGCAATTCCTCGTACGACGTAGCGACATCTGTCCCTTAAGTATAGCATTGCCAGCGATGGATGACAATACTTTTAAAATGTTTAATATTACAAATAAAACTAACCAATATCGTTATTAATATTATAAAATTGTAAATAGTAAATTATAATCAGTATCAGATTAATATAAAACTATAAATAACAAAATATGAAGACTTCATTTGATCTAATGATGAATCTCTATCAAAATATAAATTATAAAATTATAACTTAGAATATTTATAAAAAAATACTAAAAAAACTTACAGAATAGACCTACAGAACGTAAACCAAAACCATGCCACTAGCGAACCACTTTAATATTTCCTATATCGTTGTATCGTCGAATTGAATGATATTGTATACAAATTTTGTAAGCTAATTTCAAATCAAATCAAAATATTTTATTCAGCATTAAATTATTACAATTTCTTACTGAACGTCATGAGTCTACTATCAGTTCGGAAAGAAACCTTCACAAACCATAACCATAAAAATTCCTGCTACTTATTTTTCCAGATTTCCTTGTCTCTTTATATACATAGGTATATGCTAGCGACTCACCCTGTGCTTACGTTTTAACGTTTAGTATGGATTTCTCAGAAATGAGATATCCCGCAGTAAATAATATCCTATATGTCGACCCGAATGTCGGCCAGCTGTCATCATACCAAATTTCATCGAAATCTGTCCAGTGGTTTTCTAGTGATGCGTTCGTAGACAGACAGACAGACAAAGAAAAAATCTAAAAACTATAGATTCGGCCTCTGTATTGATAATAATGTCTATTTCAATAAGATTTTCCAAAAAATATTTGATATACAGATTCGACTCAAAATTTTATTATATGTATAGACGGACTATAGATAAATAAAATTCAAGATATATAACAATTATGAAAATATGAAAATTTTGATTTGAAACATTTGTATATAAATATTAAAAATGTGAATATTTGTGAGTATGTATGGATGTTTGTTACTCTTTCACGCCAGAACGGCAGAACGGATTTGGATAAAGTTTGGCACAGAGATAGATTATAGTCTGATATAAGACATAGGCTACTTTTTATCCCGGAAAAAATGTACGGTTCTCGTGGGATAGGTTTGTTTTTCCCCCTAAAGGTGAACCCGAGCGAAGCGAGGGTGAGCCGCTAGTATGTATATAAAATTGTATTGGCCAATACTGTTTTTAAAACTAGATCACATTTATGAAACCAAAAGTCTGATATGGAAGGTGCTCTGCTATGGATGCCACTAGTGGCGAATACATTGGCGCTGGATTAACTCTACCTCGGTTTGACTGCGGTTAATGAAATCCGGGAAAGCTGCAATTTCACAACTACTACGGCATTATTGGTAACCTTCTATTAGGTATTTGGAACATTCGTATTTTGTTTATTGTCATGTTAAAGAATATTTTACTCAATATTTTTATTAGGCGACTTTTACTCTTGAAATATTAAAACATTTGTAAGTACTATTATTACTAATATTCTGTTATTGCTTAGAGGTCACGGGTTTGATGCTTATTGAATTGAATGTTTATATTAACCATGCTAGTCTCAACCTAGTTAAGTGCGTAGGTACGTATAATAAAAGAAATTCTATGATTTATTATTTTGAATGATAAAAATAAACTCTTATTGACAATAATAAATTGGAAAGTCTCGAGTCTCGGACTTCTAAACAAAAATCAGTAGAGTATTTATTACAAAAAAATATGTTTCATAAAGTTTGCAACATATTTATTATATTTTGCAAATATTAAAAGCTTTCAAACAACATCACTTATTTCTTTTATTTGAAGAAGTAAGAGTTTTGTAATGTATTTCCAATAAAATTGAACGTCTTTTGAAGCTAAAGTTTTTCATTTTCTTTTATATTATATAAATATAACTAACTATTGGTGAAGATTGATCAGTTTTAAATATTGTTGAGCGATTATTGCTTTATTTGAATTTATATCTACTTTAAGTCGTACTATAAAACCAAGGTTATTGTGATATATTAGCGGCTCACCCTCGCTTCGCTCAGGTTCGCCTCGGGAACCGTACATTTTTCCGGGATAAAAAGTAGTCTATGTGTTATTCTGATGTATGAGCTATATGATTGTAAAGTTTCATCAACATCCATTCAGTAGTTTTTGCGTGAAAGAGTAACAAACATACATCCATACTCACAAACTTTCACATTTATAATATTAGTATAGATTTTCACTATCGAGTCACCCTCGCTTCGCTTGGGTTCACAACGTTTAGTATAGATTTCTCAGAAATGAGATATTTACCTGCAGTAAAAAGCATCCTATATTGATTTGCAAAATCAGCTATCCTCATTCTAAATTTCATTAAAATCGGTCCAGTGGTGTTCTCGTGATGCGTTCTCGCACAGACAGACAGACAGACAAAAATTCTAAAAATTATAAATTCGGCCTCTATATCTATAATAATGACTATTTCAATAAGATTTTATGCAAAAGATTTTTATGTACAGATTCGACTCAGAATTTTATTATATGTATAGATATAGATAAATGACAAAATAAACTATGTCTATAAAAAATCTACAAGAATATTTAATAGAATAATATTTTTTCAATAATACTATACAAAACTCACAAATTTTACCTCTTTATAATATTAGTACCTATAGATATGTATAGGTCTAACAGGGAAAAAGAATAATTTATTGCTATATTGCATATAAATAAATAAAATAATTCCAAAGGAAAGAAAGTAATATGTGATCAATCATTATTGATATTCTGCCAGCAGAATATTAAAGAAACAGTAATATTTTATTATTTATATATCATAAACTCTTTTCGACGATACTATCTTCACCATATATCAATATTTAGCCAATTTAGACTTAATATAACTTATTCGACATCTGCCTTTGATATTTAATACTACGTCTCCTCAGAACATATATCTATGATATCTGACCCAGAGCCCCAGAATATAATATATGTAATTGTATGTAATAATTGTTATATTTGGTTTACAAACACTTCACGGTATAGATAAAAGCAGCTTGGCTAGGTGTAATTTTTTTTAAGTGACACGTAATATTCAAACAGAAAGCTACTACAAAAATTCGGATTTTTTTACATAAAAAAGTTTCAGCGTAAGCTTTATTTTAGCTTATCAACAAATACAGTACTTCTTTTCATAGTAAGATCGGACAGATGCCAAGTAAAATTGACTCAAGGCATCTGGAGTAAGCCCATTTGGCGACTGTATGTGTCGCTTGCATAGCCAAAGCTCTTGAGTACTTTAAGATTTTCGAGATTTGCTTTTATTATTTTATACGAGCTTTATTCAACCTCTAAGAACATAAGATAGGCATTACATTATTTTTTATTGGCACTATATTTTTTAAAGCTACATTATAAAATTGCTATGATTTTATAAGGTTAGCTTAGTATAATATTTATTATTTATAAAATTTGTTGGGTGAGCTATTAGATGAAATTAAATGTATAAAATTTAACTCTTGATAACTAATTTTTATACACAATAGAATGTATTTATTAATGTATTATATAAAATAAAACTTACGTCTGTCAATAAAGCTGTATGTCCCGAGGAATCCGGTGGCATTATTTTGTCGTGTTGTATGAAATTCTAGAACCAATGCTGGACCAGGAGAGTATAGTGCGGGTGGAACATCAGCTCTGTTTCCACAGAGAGCTCTGGACCAACCAGACCGCTCGTTGATGGCGCCAGGTGGACCAGGGCCTTGTACTTCCCAATATACTTTGACGTAGTCACCTCGAGTACACCTGCAATAAAATATTTATATTATTACTACTGACGGCATTCTTATGTACCTTTTTGCCACATATCGCATTAAATGCTGGTATAAAAATTAAATTAAGTTAATTTTCAAATCACAAATTATTCCTATCCATTGATCAGTTACTCCATTACATCATGGATAAAGGAAAAATCAACAAACATACACTCGCATTTACTGTATTTACCTTAAAAATATTTGTCTTTGAAAATATTATTCGCATTATACCTATTTGTATTATATTATAATATGTTATTATTTGTTCTTTAATAGACGATATTGGTTATATAATACAGCAAATTGTGAAGACGTATTAGTAATATTAGTTTATCTACTGAAAGTTCGTGTGAATCAGTGATTTTTGAATAATAATATCTAACATATAAAATTTCCATGTCACAATGTTAGTTACCGTACTCCTCCGAAACGGCTTTACCGATTTTTACCAAATTCTATATGCGTATTCAGTAGGTCTTAGAATCGGCTACTATCTATTTTCCATACCCCTAAGTGATAAGGGTGGCCCACATTAGGGACGAACCCGAGCGGAGCGAGGGGGAGTCGCTAGTAGAAGTATAAAAACAATCAAAACTTATGTCAACACAGACTTACATTTTTTCTTTATATTTAATTCCTTCTATTTTTATCAAATTTAATCACAAGGAGTCTACAGTATTTTTAAAAGAACGACCTTTATATACGACCTCTTCATTATTTACTACCTACTAAATAGAAAAACGACCCGGCTTTTTTAAATATCCGGATTTACCCAAAGCTTTATCAAGTAACATTGTGCCCTTAATTATTCTAACTGTACTTTAACTAGAAATTCATAATTTACCTAAATTAGAATTCCAAGCGCAGAGATATTACGAAAATTTAAATAACTCATTTAGTATCGTATAATTTGCGCAATAAACGCTTATTAAGCTTAATAACATAGTTTAACCGTTTTATCCAAGATAGCTGGAGCGAGTTAAATTATTCAGTGCTTAATCTATTGCTGTGAAATAGTTTTATTATTAAAATGCAGTATTTAAACGATCTACTTTGATCGTATGAATAAAACTTGATGTAGTCATCTTAGTAATGATCCTCTTTTTCTAAGACATGAAATACATTTAAAAGATTTAAGACTATATTATATTTAAAATTTATATTATAATGAATGTAATTTACAATATAATCTTAAATATATAGTATAGAAACTGATTAAACGAAAAATAATTTTAATACCTAATTTTAACGTTAAAAAACAGAATAAGTAGTAAATTAAGTGAATAATTTTTATTGGAAGCTTAAAATGAGTTGAAATATTCATACTATCTAAATAAGAATTACAAAAACAAAACCCGATTGCATGTTGCGAACTAAACATGTTCAAGTTGACGTAAGAACATAGAATACTATGTTATTGCATAATAATGCAGTCGGAAAATATAATATTTTATACAGATGTTATACTTGTAGCGAGCGAAGCTCAAAAAGCACCGATATTGTTAGTTCTCATCATTTAAAAAAGTGCTTACATGTAAATTAGCTTTTAAAGGATCAAGTAATAAAATCTCTTATTCAGAATATTGAGTCAACTTAGCTTAACTGTAACTCCAAACACGTCTTGTGCTTATTAAAATACTCCCATAGTCTACAGGAACCACTTGATGGATTAGAACACGTAATTGCCTATATTCCTCTCCATGCCATCTGCTACGAGCCAAATACTATAACGATTGCTTTAGTCGTTAAAAGAAAATGTTTATTTTATTTTTCCCAAATATAATATTATAGAACATTCATTTTATTCAAGTAAGACTGAAATATAAATAAAATTCAATTTTTAATTTAACGGAAGGTAACAATTTTTTTTTTAATTTTTTATTGGAATAATAAAAAAGTGTGGTATGATGACAATAAAGATTTTTTTTCTTGTGATCAAAGCCAAGAGAACATTGAGACAAAATACGAAAAAGTGAAAAGTACAGAAAAGTGAGTAAAGTCATAGTGAAAGTGTAACTAGTGATGAAAAGTAGTGTTCAGAGATTGAATTAAGTCAGAACTGTGTACGTACAGCGTGTGTTTGCAAGCCGCCATACGTGACTATTGTAAACCAAAAGTAATAAAAGTAGTAAATAGTACAAAAGACGTTTAATTTCCGATCCCAGAATATAATAAAACGTATGAAGTAACCGTATTCCTCTACGAAGCTGTAGACAAAACCGACTATATGCGTCGATTATATAATTAATTCTACTGCAAGTACCTACATCAGTATTAATAAATCTATATACATATAATAAAATTGTAATTAAGCCGAATCTGTACATTAAATATATTTTGGAAAATCTTATTTAAATAAACATTATTACGATACAGAAGCCGAATCTATAGTTTTTAGAATTTTTGTCTGTCTGTCTGTCTGTCTGCCTGTCTGTTACCTCATCACAGAAAAACCACAGGAGGGATTTTGATGAAATTTAGTATGATGGTAGCTGGTTTTCCGGGTCAACATATAGGATACTTTTTTCGCGGGAAAATATCTCATTTCTGAGAAAAAATACAAAACTGATTTTTTTGATACATTTTTATCCCGTTCGACCGCGTTCCAATTTTAATGATATTTTAATTTTTGGATTTCTCTTAGTCCGGAATAGGTAAGTATTAAAACATCAGAATAATTAACGAAAAAAAATTAAAATTTATATGGCTTACGCTGGCTAATAACTTTTTATATCTATTTAAAACGTACCTAGCGACGAACCCAAGCGAAGCGAGGGTGAGCCGCTAGTATACTAATATATAAAACCTAAGAATTTGGATTTTGGTCATCTGAATGCGGGCGGAGCCGCGGGCAATGCTAGTTAAACTGTATTTATGTTTTATAGGATTATTCACTAAGCCTATTACGTGACAATGTTTTGAATTATTTGTTTCAATGATTAAATATTAATATTCGACATAGAAACAGCGTGCTATTTTAGTTTGATTATAAATCAAAATTGTAATTATTATCACGTCGGAAAATTATTTGTATTGGCTATACAGTTTTTTTCCAAATTTGACCCAATTCAGAATAAAAAGGATCTATTAAATAATTCTTGAAGAATTTTACCGATCTACAAATGAATAAACGTGTAAACTAGTAAATTAGCTTGTCCAGATGTTTATTTTATGATAAAAGCGCGTAGCGATTACCATACTACTTCTTTTTTCTTTTCTCTCCTCTATCCTCTTTCTTAGATAGGGATAGAGTTTGGTTAAAAATTTAGTGCAACAATAGAAAGCCAGTTTTTACCCGTTTTCTCTCTGAACCTAGTGCGATGTATCATGATAATAACACAGTAGTACTGACCCAGCTTTCGTTTTTATTAAGACAGAAATATCTGCAATGTGATAAAAATCTCATCAAAGACACACTTTCATTTACTGTATTAATATGTCATTGTTATTTCTCTAGAATATACATATTTTTGGTTTTAAATATTTCTTAATAACTATTAAAGATCCAATTGCATGAAAAATATTAATTTTTTTACACATAAGAGATTTGGAAACACACAGCCTTATATTTTTAACGTTTAGTTCAGAAGAAACAGTTTAAACTTGAAAATATTACAGCTGTTTGACACATTTTTACATATGTGTTGGAAAACAGACCGTTATCTTACAAAACTTGGTACAATAAATGGAATTTTTTTTAAAAATTGGGTAACAAACACGTTTCGTGACGCCTTTGTTTTTTCCGTAAAGCTGCCCACCCTCAAATAGTAGGCTGTTAATAAAATAGCCTACATCTATGTAAGCTAGCTGCGATGGTGATGACAGGTCATTATTAAAACGACCCAACTCAATCGAATAGAAATGACAGGCTAGATGTGCGATTTTGTATGACTAACCTTTTATTATCTAGAGATATCATATTTATGTACGACATATGTGCAAAATATGAGCATTTTCTTTACGTTGGAAAAAATCAGGAAAAGGCTGTTGAGGTCTCAATAATCGATGGTAAACTTTTTTTTCGAATTATTAATATTACAATTTTATTACAAAATTCTTTGTAAAACGTATAAACTATCGCATTTATCATAATATGCTTGTCGTTATATTAATGTTTTTTTTTTCTTTTTTGGTAATCAAACGTACGATGTAATCATAGCCAAATTAATATTATTCATTGTTGGTACTATATTAAAACTTAGTCGACGGCTGGTCTTTTCTTAATCGAGTCATCGAATGTCATTGTCGTCGTCATCGAGTACCTTAATATTCTCAACTAGCGACTCACCCTCGATTCGCTCGGGTTCATCCCCTTATCATCCCCTTAAGGGATGATTTCCGAGATAAAAACTATCTTATGCCCTTCTCAGGGTCTCAAAATATCTTCTTACCAAATTTCATCTAAATCGGTTGAGTAGTTTCGAAGCCTTTTTGACACAAACAAACAAACAAAAAAAATCAATTCTTCCTCTTTATAATATTAGATATCTATCTATAATCTGATAGCAACTAGCATTAATCTTTCTTTTAATTATGCAGATCAAGACTAAGCTCTCTATACCAATATGCGTTATTTGTCACACGCTTGCCACTAAGTCACTATTGTAATCTATGGTAAAATTCGTAAAACATAGATTATAATTTAACTTTGTTCCTTTTGGAACTAAGTTGAAGTATTCTAAAATCTAAAATATTACCTCGCTTACGATTATTTTGATGTAATCCAATATAAGCATCGTATTACCTAAATGTTATTATTAAAAGTGGTGGCCTATGTGTGAAACAATATGAAACCCGTATTCCGATACATCTAACTGTACACTCGTAGATTTTGGAGCAATTTGGCCTCAAGCGAGATGTATAGAACTATAAAATGTCCTATAGGAACATATCGTCACTGTATCTCGCATTCTGTGCTTTGTTTTTAGAAGTGCAAATTTGATCGTCTATCTACGTCTAGATCTATTTTCATTTAGACTCGAGGTTAAAATATTGAAAATATTTTTCCACGTTCTTACTACATACTCCACATACCATGTTCATGGATATAGTCATTTCATATAGTATTATAAAATTTTATACAGTTTGTAATATGACTGATAGAAAAAAAAGTTGTAGAAAAGAGAGTGGTAATCTGAGTAGATATATTGTATTTTGTGCTCTTAGTTTGAATAAAC